CATTGGATTGGGGCGTTATTTGATACATATAATCTCTACACGCAATTGTGTTTGAGCGTTCTTTTTGCAACTTAGACTCTACGTGTGTGTGTCGGCTATGGGTTACATGCCCGTTTTTGTGTATCAGCTGTGACTTGGCATCCATAATGCCACCAATTCACATCCCTCCACATCTCTTCTTATCCCGCCACATCCCTCCCCATACCTTCTCATCCCTTTCATATCCCTTCACATCCCTTCGCATCCCTGTTTTCTTGTTTCCAGCAATTTCACCAACAATGCCTTTAAAGGAGGCATCCCTTCTTCCTTTTCCAACCTCACCAATCTTATCAGGCTGTGAGTTTTATAGTCCTTTTCCCTGTATTGTTGCCGACCTCACTATTGAAGATTCTCAACAGCTTTGGAACGTCCAACGTTCCACACCAGAAAGGCTCTGACATACATATCTAGATACATACATGTTATCAATGTAATATATGCGCACTCAATGCATGTGTATATATGTTAGCTATTCATATTCAAGGTAATACATGTCTACTCAATGTCTACATTATAGATTTGACATGGCTCAAGCTCATCAGTGATAGAGATGAGCAAGAGGCGAACACGAACGTGTTCGCGTTCGCCCCTGCACGAACACCGCCATTCGGCGAACCGAACACTGTTCGGTTCGCCGAACGTGCTTTAGCAAAAAAGGATTTTCGCCGTTCGCCAGTGAAGGCGAACACATTGTTGACGCAGGCGAACACGAACGTGTTCGTGGCAAACACATTCGTGTTCGCTCTGGGACTATTCACTAAAGTCACACGTTTGTGGATTGGGCATTGTTGACATTTGTTAGGTGACTGTAAGGTCCAAATAGAGTAAAATTCAAATCGTTGCACATTCCCTCCCACCACCCCCCAAGCCAGTCCCGCCCTGCTTCATCCATGCTAGTGCTTGTGTGTGATGGCAAAATGCTAGATCTGCACTTAAGCAATGGCGAAATGCTAGATCTGCACTTAAGCAACGGCGAAATGCTTGATCTATACTTAAGCAATGGTGAAATGCTAGATCTGCACTTAAGCAACGGCGAAATGCTAGATCTGTACTTACGCAATGGTGAAATGTTCGATCTGCACTTAAGCAACGGCGAAATGCTAGATCTGTACTTAAGCAACGGCGAAATGTTCGATCTGCACTTAAGCAACGGCGAAATGCCAAATCTGAGCCCAAACAACAAGGCCTGCGACCTAAAACTTGGTCGCGGGCCTATTCGTCGACGAACACATCGGTGTTTGTCGAAGGCCCTTGTCAAACACGAACGCGCCTCGGCCAGCTGAGCCGGGTGAACGGCGAACGTGTTCGAGGCGAACCGAACAGGAGTTCATTACATTGCTCATCCCTAATCAGTGATATATGAAATGAAGCATACATTTTGTTCGTTCGTATTTGAAACGTTATGTACTGACCGTTTCTTGGGCAGGTCATTTCATTACAACCAACTTTCAGGAGAGATTCCTTATGATCTAGGAAGTCTCAAAAACCTTGCATTTCTGTAAGTAGACGTGAGCAAGTATCGAACTAGAACCTGGTCGAGTGAAATCGGTTCGAATTGGCCCCCTTGGTCAGACCAAACCGGTTCTGATGTTCAATTCAATTCGAACCGAAATTAGTAGGTCCTTAGTTGAAATTCTCTCTGAGCACATACCTCCTACAGTCAAACCGACACCGATCAGGTTTGACTAGGGCAAGGGCCGGTTCGACGCTGCTTGCGCCCCAGCCCAGAACCAAACAGTTTGACTCGAACCACAGTCGGTCCGACTCGAAGGGATATGGAATAATAATAATAATAATAATAATAATAATAATAATAATAATAATAATAATAATAATAATAATAATAATAATAATAATAATAAACGTACTTAAACCGCTTTAACTGAATCAAACCTAGGTTCGATATTATGCTGATGTCTAGCTATAAGAGTACATACATGGATGTATACATACCAATAACACCTATCATGTCATGTTATATTATATTGAACCTTTCCCAACTGTTGTTCGTCAGGTGGGCATGACCGAAGTCCGTTTGGTGCTCCGCTTTTCATTTTCAAAACCCGTTTGGTACCAAAATATTATTGTTTGTAACAAAGTAGTATTCTGAAGGACCAGTTCAAGGTTCGGTTCTGGGGTGCCAAACTAAACTGGTTCGGTGCATTCGGTCCAGTTCGTTTTTCGGTTCCCCCGAAACCCTTGTTCTTCCGAGCAGATTTATTATAAAGTATTTCAGAGATGGGATGCGCAAGGATCTCATACGTACAAGCATCTCGTGTGTGTGTATGTGTGTGTGTGTGTGTGTGCTTGAATCTACATACACACTACTAGGAAAAGAAATGCATCACATCACAATACATGTTGTGCAATCATGCTTAATGTGGCAAAAAACAGTAGTCCAATGCTAAGGATGCTACCTGTATCCAAATATAGTTGACAAGATGAAGCAAGAAAGTCTCCACCGGCATCAATGCACCAATAGCTACGGAAATGAAAGATGAGCGCACGTGGACCTAGGACCACCACTACCTAATAACGCTGCTGCCAAACATTGAGGCGCCTCAAAAATGCTGCCAAACATGGAGCATTAGCGTTGAGAAGAGCGATGGTCGGTTTGGTAGCCAGCCCGTGTTTAGTGACTTTATCCCTATAGTTGTGAACAATCATGATTCCGCCCTGAAACAATGATTTTTTCTCCCTAGACATTGGACAAACCGCAGCTCAGTTTGGTGCGATTCGGTTCGTTTTTACCCGAACCGAATGGTTATTTTTGTGCGGCTGGTTTGTTAGCAACAACTACGCAGTTGTTTGTGTCTTGGATTTACCTAACCGAAAGCAACCATGTAACCTCAAAAACCAGCAAGTTGGGGCTTATTTCAGTTTCCAACTCCCTCATAGTCTATTACGCTCCCTTCCACCTAACACTAGTGTGTTTGCCATGGCCTTTTTTCTGTTTCAGGTAGTAGTGGTGACCATAGTGAAAGGTGTTAGCGTTAGCTCTGAATCTCAACTTTTCTACTAGCACTTTCTCTATCCTCGATTAGTGTAGCTTTTCACTTTGTGTTGGTTCGACGTACACGCACATCCCAACCCAACCCAAATGTGATTAACTGAAATCTCCAACCCACCAATTGGAGATCTCGGCCGATCTCCTTGGGATTGCCCCCGATTCCCTCCCCGTCCATTCCTTGCTCATTTCGAATGTAGTCTTGATCTCAATACTATCTGTTCAAGCTCCAGTTCTTACAAAAGATCACTGGCGAACCAAATCAGTTTGGTTCGTTTTTATTTGTAACGATCCACGAACTGGCTGTGTGTTAAACTGGTTAGTTCACGAACCGGTTCAATTGGGTAGAAAACTATTTTGTCTTTTAAGGGTATTAAATAAACAACTGGTTCGGTTCAATACTCTGCCATGCCTGATTCTCCTTGATGCTGTTATGTATGATACGGATTTCGCGTTGCTCTAATAACATAAAAGAATCACCCTACTCTTATCATTGTTCACTCTCATACCATCGTCTTTTGCCCCAAAACCATCATAAATTTGCCCTAACTCCATCACCCATTCACCCTGCATGCAGAAGCCTCACCTACAACAATTTTTCTGGCGTTGTTCCTCTGACTTTTGGGAGTCTTATTAGCCTAACTCGCTTGTAAGCTCGGAGGTGGGGGAAGGAAAAAGAAGGGAAGGGGTTTCGGGACAATTCAAAAGTTGAGTCTTGTCCGCCTTCCAAACAGATAAAAGCAGCAAAGGGGAAAGGGAGAGAGGGGTAGGCAGGCCGCGGGAGGGAGAGGGGGCGACTCTTGAGGCTCCAAGATGTTTCCCCAACACTTGAGTGCCTCGTTATCCCTATTAGCCTGGCGTTCGGCTGTGTTGGATTGGGTTGGTTTAATAGGGTCGGATTGGGCTAGACAGGGTTGCATTGGGTTGGTTTTGGGTAAATTGGGTTGTGGTGAGTGAGGTCAGGTTGGGTTGAGTTGGATTGGGTTGGGTTTGTTGTCTGTCATGCAACATCGTCTTGTTACACGTTTTAGCATAACTTCTTACACAAATGCCTGTATCTTTTGAGCATGCCATTTGTTGTCACATTATTTTGCCTGTCATTGACTATCATCCATCCACTCTCCTTCCACTCCCCCTCCACTCCCCCTTCGCTCTACCTCCTCTCTTCCTCCACTCCCTCTCCGCTGTCCCTCCACTCTCCATCTCTCTCCCACACTCCCATGCATCTCCCTCACTGCAGTGGGCTGGAGAAGAGCGGAGTTGTGTGCCCCACAGGAGCCGGGCAGTCCTGCGTGGTCAACCAGAGGCCCTCATCCAAATTCTGCTACCAGTGCAAAAAGTTCTGCCAGATCTGTATCCCCATCCCTGAAAATTCTTCCTCAGCTAGTTCTACAACCACTCCGTCTCCTCCTCCTCCTCCTCCTTCTCCTCCTCCTCTGGCCTGTCTCTGGGAGCTATCATAGGGATAACTTTGGGGGGTGTCTTAGCTGCTGGTCTCCTCGCTGTTGCCCTGCTACTTCTATACAACCGAAGGTTCACAACAGGTGAGCTGCCAGTAATGCGCTTCCAATAACCTCATTGCTTCCAGAGGTGTGCCTCACCTCCCTCGTCTGCCTCATTCCCTCGTCTATGTATTTTCCAGACTTCTCAACAGAGTTGTTGCTCCATTGCGTGTGATATCCACATTCTCTTGATGTTTATGTTATCATGTTCCCATTAGTTATTTACCGTTTGGCTTCCCCTTACCAGCACCTGATGACCCGAGTCATGTAAAAGTGCTCTGCGAGCATAACTTGCGATGGTTTCCCATCGCCCGTGCCCATGCCGAGCCCAGTACGTGAGTCACTTTTGAGACTTCCCAAAAATTTTCCCACCACCATTTTCTTGGCTTTTCTTCCCCCATGCCCTCCCATTCCCACCACATGAGCCGTCATCTGTACCAACACAGACGCTCATGTGCCAGCGGTACCCCATAGAGGTGGTTGCCAAGGCAACTGACAACTGGGCAGAGGCAAACCACATTGGGTCGGGCGGGTATGGAGAGGTCTATCGGGGTGTGTGTCCGCAAGATCCCTCAGTGGTGTGGGCTGTGAAGTGCGCCAAGATACTCACCAATGACTTCAAGCGAGGTATGTGTGTCTGTGTGTGTGTGTGTGTGTGTGTGTGTGTGTGTGTGTGTATGTGTGTGTGTATGTGTGTGTGTGTGTGTGTGTGATATGGGGTGTGCAGCAATTGACTGCAATGGTGTAGGATGGACAGGTGAAACGAGGAGTGTCCCCTGCGGTCCCCGCTTGGTGGTGTGGGCTGTGAAGCGCGCCAAGATACTCACCAGTGACTTACAAACGTGAAGTATGTGGGTCGTGAAGGCAAAAAGGCATGAGGTGAGACGCCTCAGATGTGAGATGTGTGGGGGAGAAGGGTGAAAAGGAGGACCTGTTGATTGTGTAGGTGGTTGTGGTATTTTGCTCTAGCAGGCTGTGGGCTAAAGGTTTGGGCAAAATGTGGTGATTAGACTTGTTGCGGGCTGGATTTGATCTCGCACCCAACAAGCACCAACAAACCTTTGCTATTCACTACAACACCTTTGGTGTTGCTAGTTTGGCATTTTGGGTTGTTGGGGATTGTTGTGGGTCGAGGGTTCGGATAGTAGGGTTTGGGATTGTGTTTTTATTGTGGGTAGCGATCGGCCTAGATCTTGGTTGAAGGCGTGCGTTACCATTCTGGAAATTACCGATTGAGACCTTTCCAACGAGTACCTGCTCATATTTTTAGGTTACGTGAGCTGCACGCAATGGTTCGCCGAAGTCGGCAGACTTAATCTCTTGTTATGCTCTCCAGATTCGCGCGCTTTCCATCACTGGTATCAGAGCAGGTTAGGCCTGCGACATTCCCTCTTTTTATTATATTTCGAATTGGTTTAAGGACCTCCAGATCTAGGGTTGGTCATGACCCAAAAGTTAGATGGCCCTCCTAGGTTCACCGGCTCGGATTTTTCGCTATGGCGGTTCCAGTTTACGCTTTGGCTAGGTATTAAAGACCTAGAGGGCGTTTTGGAGGGATCGGAGCGAAGACCTGAAGCTGATGAAGCAGAGGCATCTGCTGGAGTGTCTAGCCAAGAGGGAGCAGGGGCTGGGGAGCCTCTAGCTCATCCATAACTGAGGGAAGTGGAGGTGGATCAGCAGCATCGCCAAACGGAAGGCAACGGCTTAGTGCGGAGGAGCTACTTAAGGCACAGGAAGCATGGGACCGCAAGGACAAGCAAGCGTTCCAGTACCTGTGTTGGGCTTTGGAAGGCCAACTAGAGCTCCTAAAGATGCTGATTGACCTGAAGGGGAAGAAACGAGCAGCTGCCCAAGAATGGAAAAGAGTTAAAGATCGACATTTGCAAAAAGGGTTGCTAAGCATACTCACCTGGAGGAAGCGGTTCTACACCATGGAACGCAACTATGGCGATGGAGAGACCATGGTGCAGTATCTCCAGAGGGTGGATGAGTATGTGAGGGCGTTGGAGGAGTTGAATTACAAAGTAGATGAGAAGGAGATCATCTACACCGCACTCCAGGGGCTGGACCAAGAGGCGAACGAGGCCCTACTGCAGTACCTTCACCTTGAGCAGCAGAAATGGACAATGGCCTGGATATGGGAGGTTTTGGTTTCTGATGAGGCTCGCAAACGTGATGCTGGTAGAGGAATTGAAGGGGGAATGGGGGCAGGTGATAGGGCTGCCTCCAAGAAGTACCAGCAGCGGCAAGGAGGTGGGGGGAAGAAGAAGGAGCTCGACAAGTGCCTCGTCCCTGGATGCAACCGGAAGCACTCTTGGAAGGAGTGTTGGAGCCGACCAGATGGGTGGAAGCCTCAAGGGTACCCAGGAGAGGCTCCACCTGTCACTAGGCCTGAGTGGGTGGAGAGGAGGATGAAGAATGGAGCATGGAACAAGAAGGGCAGCAAAGAGAAAGCGGCAGCAGCGGCGGCAAACGAGGATAAGAAGGGAAAGGAGGACTCATCGGATGATGGCTTATCTTTCTTGTCCTTGGAGAAGGAGACGGCATTTGCTGGTCGTATGTTGGCTGACCCCAATCAGCTCATTCTAGACTCTGGAGCAACCTGTGGAATGGTACCTCGGCGCGACCTCTTCACCACCTATCACTCCCTCCCACCTAACTCCAGAAATGTGATTGTGGGGAGCGGAGATACGCTGCAAGCAATCGGCATCGGCACCATCACCGTCAAGGGGAAGGAGGGGGAGGTGCTGAATGTGAAGGGTGTGCTTCATGTTCCTGGATTGGCAGCCAACCTTCTCTCATGCTCTCAGCTTGCGAAGCAAGAATACATATGCACCTTCACCATGGAAGGGTGCACGGTTCGAAAAGGTGGAGCTGTGGTGATGGAGGCCAAGTTAGAGAAGGGTCTATACCTTGTTCCAGTTTGTTTGTCTGAGGTGGAGAGGGCACATGGTGTTGAAGCCGAGGAAGCCGCTTGTAGCACCCGTTGGAGGGACGTGGAGCAGGTGACGGCAGATTTGCTGCACCTACGCATGGGGCATGCAGGAAGGCAGCAACTTGTGGAGTGTGTGAAGAAGGGGGAGCTGAAGGGTGTGGAGATCAAGGAGGGTGGTGGGCAGCCAAGCAAGTGCCCTGATTGCACGACCGGGAAGCTGCCAAGGACCTCTTCTCCTACCTCCACTACTAGAGCCTCCGCACCTCTTGAGTTGGTGCACACGGATGTGTGTGGCCCCATGCAAACACCGGATAGGGAGAAGGGCAGCAAATACTTCATCACCTTCTTGGATGACTTCAGCCGCCTAATTTGGGAAGCCGGGGCCAAGGTGAAAATACTTAGGTCTGATCGGGGTGGGGAATACATGGGGAAGGATCTGGAGTCTTTCCTTGAAGACAACGACATCACCCACCAGCTTTGAGTTGCCTACACGCCGCAGCAAAATGGGGCAGCGGAGAGGCTAAACCGGAAACTCATTGACCTTGCCCGAGCCATGCTTGCTCATGCGCAGCTGGACCATACTTGGTGGGGTCAGCAGTGCAATGTGCTAACTAGGTTAAGAACCGGATGGGCAGCAAGGGGCTAGGGGGCAAGAGCCCATACTTCATGTGGACCAGGAAGGTGCCTAGTGTGTCCATGGCACGAGTGTGGGGGTGCATGGCGCAGTACAAAGTGCCCGACCAGCAACGGAGGAAGTTAGATCCTAAGGCACAATGGGGCATTTTCCTTGGGGTGTCAGAGAGGAGCAAAGCTTGGATGTTGTGGAGTGTGGCGGATCAGCGGGTGGTGGAAAGCCGGGATGTGGTTTTCCATGAGGGGCTGAGCTACAAGGGGTGGAAGGAGCATGGTGCTAGTACAGTTGGGAGCTCCCTCCAGGATCCCTACACCTCTTCCATTTTTGAGGGGGGATGGGAGGACCCTGGAGAGGAGGTAGAGGAGCAGCAAGAGGAACAAAGGGCAGCTGCACCTCACCATAAGGAGCCACCAAATGCTGGTTCTACTCCTGACCCTAACGCACCAGCCCATGACCCGGAGCAGCCACAAGGGCAGCAGCAGCAACAAGAGAAGCCGCAGCAGCCACCACAACAGCATACACCGCCTGTTCCTGTGGGTAGGTGGCAGCAACAACTTCAGCAGCAGCTGTCCAAGTCACCACGGTCCCCCATGAAGAGAGTGACTTGGAAGGAGAAGCTGCAAAGTCTGGAACAGGGGGAGGCATCACCTCTGCGCCGCACCACACGCATCTCCCGGCCACCTGAAAGGTTCACACCAAGTGCACAGTATGCTTGCATGCATGATCATGAGGTGCATGATTTGGAGGAGTGCATGCTTGTGGATGCTGAGGGGGGTGAGCTTGGGCTTGATTTCTGTCTCATGGGTCAGGTGCATGAGCCTAAGTCGGTCAAGGAGGCATCGTCCCGTCCTGAGTGGGTCGAGTCCATGCGTGAGGAGCTTGAGTCTCATAGGGTGAACGAGTCCTTTGAGCTGGTTGATCCAGCTTGTGTGCCACCTGGAATGGAGGTCTTGAGGTGTCAGTGGGTGTGGAAGTATAAGCACATGGCTGATGGGAGTATTGAGAGGCCTAAGTCCAGGTTGGTGGCCATGGGGAACACTCAAACACGAGGTGTTCACTATGACCAGGTATATACCCCGGTGGGTAAACCTACTACCCTGAGAGGTTCCCTTGGGATGGCAGCATCTTCGGGGTTTCACATCCATCATATGGATGTGACCACTGCCTATCTTCATGGGGTCTTAAATGAGGAGCTTTACATGAGGCAGCCCCCTGGTTTTGATGATGGGTCTGGCAGGGTTTGCTGACTCAGAAAATCAATCTATGGGCTGAAGCAAGATCTAAGGCAGTGGTACCTCAAGTTTGATGAGGCTTTGATGGAGTTTGGTTTTGAGAGGTCGGAGTGTGATCCCGCCTTGTAGCAGTTGGTGAGGCGTGAGGGAAGGCTGTCCCTCTACCTCTATGTGGATGACATTCTGCTCATGTCTTCGAGCATGGTCTTGCTGGACGAGGTGAAGGGTCTCTTGTCCTCTCGTTTCCGCATGAAGGACTTGGGGGAGGCTAAGTACTATTTGGGGGTGCAGATTGAGCGTGATGAGAGTGGCATCTTGATTCATCAGGAGAGGTACATTCTCAACATGCTTGAGTCCTTTGGGCTTTCTGAGGCTAACCCCGTGCGTACCCCTCTCCCTACAGGGTTCGACGTGCATGCACATGCTGAGGAGCCCTTGCTGAGAGATGAGCTGGTCCAGCTCTATCAAAGCATTGTGGGGTCTCTCATGTATGCAAGCACGACCACACAGCCCCAGATTGCTTATGCAGTATCATAGCTGTCTAAGGTCGAGTTGGTGGGCTTTAGTGATGCTGATTATGCTGGAGATTCAGCTGATCGCAAGAGTCACACCGGCTATGTCTATTGCCTCAATGGTGCAGCCATCTCTTGGCAAATCAAAAGGTAGCCGGTCGTTGCATTGTCTGTTAGAATCTTAGAATTGAACGAGAATGGATGAACTAGCAGGAAGTTGGGTACAAGTAGGAAACCCTAAGTTTGTGTACCCTCTAAGGCTAAACCCACTATAGCCTACACAATATAAACATACAATGTTTGACACACCCCCATAGGCGAAGTGGGAGACAACCAGAGGGTCACAAGACCAGTCAAAGCAAAGCAAGGCAAAACAAGCTCAGGGTGGATCTCAAGGATA